TTAGCATAAAAACTGGAAGCAGCTTCAGATTCAGAAATACTTTAATAATCCCAGAGGGAAATTATATAAGGATGGAATTATATAGGATGACTCAGAACTACTGCTGAATGCCTATAATCAGTTTTATTATTCTATTTTGTGGTGATTTGTATTTTCTAATAATGGTATCCTCACTAATCTAACCCCCCACCTCAACCCTTTTATTTTGTATTTATTGTTTAGACATCCTTAACAAGTGAAATATGCCTGCCAAATGATGAAGTGTGCCAGAGAGAGGAACTGACAGAAGAAGGCCTTCATCGTCGCAGACCATCTGTCCAGATCAAACCCTCCTCCCTCCCTGCGAGCCTCCACCCTGCAGCCATGCAGTTCAACCCAGCGCTCGTGGAGTCCTCTGTAGTCCTGGCCGTGGTGCTGTGTGTCCACATGGCGGTGTGGAACCAGCACTCCTGGTGCAGCATAGCTCTCTTCATCCAGGCTTTCTACGTGCAGCACAAATGGGACCGTCTGCTCAGGTCCGGGGGCGCCGTGTTCCAGTTCCGTCCCGCGGCGAACAGTGGCATCGTCCCGGCATCCATGGTGATGCCTTTACTGGGTCTGGCGCTGAAAGAAAAGTGCTCCGCCTCAGGGAACGTCTACTTCGAGCGCTTCTCCATGGTAGTCACCATCACAGGCATGATGCTGGCTCTGTTTCTCTCCCTGATCGCGTTGGGCATCACAAGACCCGTGCCCACCAACACGTGTGTGATCGCAGGCATGGCTGGCAGTGCGATTCTCTACACGACCAAGCAGACGCTGACGGTGTCCGAGGTCATCGAGGTCTTGGAGGTGCTGTTGATCTTCGTATATCTGAGCCTGATTGTGCTTTACCTGCTGCCACGCTGCTTCACACCCGGAGAGGCGCTCCTCATCGTCGGTGGAATCAGTTTCATCGTCAACCAGCTCATCAAGCGCTCCCTGAACCTGGCGGAGGTCAAAGGTGACCCGGTGAACTATTTCCTGCCGGTCGTAGTGGTGGGCTCGCTGTTGCTGGGGGTTTTCTTTGCCCTGCTCTTCTGCTTCATGGAGTCCGAGACCTGGGTGTCATCGCTTTTCTTTCACATGATGACGGCCGTTCTGGGTCTGGGGATCCTCATGCCCTGGCTCTCCCTGTTCATCGGCCGGCACCCCCTCATGTGGCTGCTGGACTTTGTCACATTAAATGACAGAAGACTCTGTCTGCTCGGGTACTGGGTGTTTATGGCTGTCGTGGCCACTTGCGTTGTGTTACACCAGAACTACCAGCGCCAGTCGGGGTCCAAGAAGCACCAGGCCTCCACTGTAGTCAGGAAGTACTTCCATCTGATTGTAGTGGCCACATACGTTCCAGGGCTGATATACGACAGGCAGCTACTCCATGTGGCGTCTGTAGGTTGCTTGGCGGTGTTCTTGATCCTGGAGTACGTGCGTTACTTTCGGATCAGGCCGCTGGGTCAGCTGCTCAGGCAGGTGCTCACCTTGTTCCTGGATGAGCGGGACTCTGGGCCTCTCATTCTGACCCACGTCTACCTGCTGCTGGGCATGTCTCTGCCCATATGGTTGTTCCCCGGGCCCTGCGCCCCCAAGGGGATACTGCCTGGTGCAGGTGGCCTGGTGCCGTATGCAGGTGTGCTCGCCGTGGGGGTCGGAGACACTGTGGCGTCTGTGTTCGGCAGCACCATGGGCGAGATCCGTTGGCCCGGAACTAAGAAAACCATGGAGGGGACGGCAACATCTGTGTTCGCCCAGATCATCGCCGTGGCCATGTTTCTCATCTTCGATGGGAGCATCAATCTGAACTCCACCTACTCATGGATTGTTGGCTCTATCACTCTGGTGGCCATGTTGGAAGCCTACACCTCCCAGATAGACAACCTCCTACTCCCACTCTACCTCTTCATCCTGCTGTTGCTTTGACTGGACAGATGGCACAAACAAAAACCGATCCCTCCCGCTGTCCTCAGCTCTTTCTGGGGGCGAGAAGAATACAGAATTTGGAAAAAAGCGTTCAAATATGATAGAAGAAGTCCCTTTAGGAATCACTGGACTTGAGCAGAAAAGGGGAGCCGTTTTCACTAGCACAACAAAGGAATAATTAAAAGCTTACAGCTTAATCAAGCTGGGTAATCCAACAAACCAATGTGGCTGCAGACACGATGTTAGCATGACATTAGACTCTGCTGCCTTCCCAAATCATTTCAGTATCAGTTGCTTTGAGCAATGAGACGATCATTTCAGAATAAGTTGTGAGTTATTCTTTGAGCTGTGTCTAAAGTGACAGGGGTGGTGTATGGTTTCTTTTGCGTGTCATAGTCCTGACGACGAGGTACTCCACCACTGACACCAACAACTCCTGAATTATGCAACAGGAGATAGTATTAGCTAA